TCAAACTCAAGCAAGGTAAAGGGGACTGAGAACTGATAATTGGGAATCACAAGCCATTAGCAACCATCATCTTTTATTTTTCTATTAGTGTTTTTACATGTATAGTTTTCTACTTCTCAGCTGCCTAGTTCTAAGAATTAATGCTTGTTTAATATCTAAATTCATAAATTTGTTTTTGAATTATCTTCTCCCCTGTTCTAAGAACAAGTTTCTTTTTCTTTCATCTTTGCCTGTACTGTGATCAGATTGATTTTATCTCCCTGCTTAGGGCTTGTGATGCTGTAATTAGCCAAAGAATATGGAGTAGAATGGCCATTTTTTTTTTTAAGAAAATAGATTAAAGCATGACAATGCACTAGGGTAGGGGTTGGCAAATTACGGCCCACAGTCAAATGATGGCCAATGCAGCCTGCCAGCTATCTTACAAATAGGTTTTACTGGATGAATACTATGTAGATTGTCCATGGCTGCTTTCATGCTATAATAGCAGAATTGAATACTTGAAAAAGAAACCACCTGACCTGCAAAGCCTAATATATTTACCATTTGACCGTTAACAGAAAAAGTTTCCAAGCCCCTATATTAAGCAAAGCCCATTTTTATCTTTCTCCAGGTACCAGTCTTAAAAATGAAAAATTTAACCCTACCCGACTTTGTATCCGAAAGTTCTTCCCAAAGAAGAAATGCTTTATCTTTGATCGCCCCACTCATCGGAAGAAGCTAGGCCAACTTGAGACAATGCATGATGATGAGCTGGACCCCGAATTCGTGCAACAAGCTGCTGACTTCTGTTCCTACATCTTTAGCAATTCCAAAGTCAAAACTCTTTCAGGAGGCATCCAAGTCAATGGACCCCGTAAGTCCACTTCCCGGTCATTACTCTCACTGTTAAGACTAAAGAAAGGTGGAATTGCATCCACCTAGTTTCAGCTTTGAAAAATGCAAATCTACTACTCTTAGAGGCCTGGTGCATGAAATTCGTGCACTCAAGGAGTTCCCTCAGGCCGGCCTGCGCCCTCTGGCAGTCCAGGAGGGAGAAGCTTCTGCTACCGCCCCACCGCTGCTGTGCTTGCCAGCCATGAGCCTGGCTTCTGACTGAGCAGCACTCCCCCTGTGGGAGCGCACTGACCACCAGAGGGCAACTCCTGCGTTGAGTGTCTGCTCTCTGGTGGTCAGTGCATGTCATAGCAATCGGTCTTTCCACGGTTCGGTCAAGATACATATTACCCTTTTATTATATAGGATTACTGTGGTACATTCTAGATGACACAACATTTCTAATAGATTTTATTAGTCAGATTTCATGGGTGAGAAAAGATAGAAAAGGACAAATAAAAAAGCTCTATTGCTTCAAATTGACCTAATACACTGGACCTGTACTATCCCATATAATAGGTACTAGAAAAGTGTAGTAGCTACATTTATCTAAAATTGAATGCAGATTAATTAAAATTAAATAAATTTAAAAATTCTGATTACATGTATAGTGGCTATAATATTGGATAGCGCATATAGCAGAAGACTATCATCACGGAGAGATCTCTTGGACAGTGTTCTGCTACAATAAATAAAATTAAGGACTCCTTTTTAAATTTATTTTGAGTTTTTTAATCCTTACCCCATAATATATTTTTCCATTAATTTTAGAGAGAGAGAGAAACATCAATGTGAGAGAGAAACATTAATCAGTTGCCTCCCGCATGTGCCCCAACTGGGGATCAAACCCACAACCTAGGTGTGTGCCCTCACCAGGAATCAAACCCACAACTTTTTGGTGCATGAGACAATGCTCCAACCAACTGAGCCACCTAGCCAGGGCAGAGGACTTCTTTTTAATTGTTTCACAAATATTGATTTTATAAATGCTTACCACAGACCATAACTGATGATAGAGACATAAATGAGAGGTACATTTCCTATCCTAATGGTGTTTAGGGATAAAGCACATGCACTCAATAAACCTCAATAAACACAGGTCTATGGTTGCCAGGGTTCTTGTCTTAGCATTAAGAAGGATTCATGCCCTAACCGGTTTGGCTCAGCGGATAGAGCGTTGGCCTGCGGACTGAAGGGTCCCAGGTTCGATTCCGGTCAAGGGCATGTACCTGGGTTGTGGGCACATCCCCAGTAGGGGGCGTGCAAGAGGCAGCTGAATCGATGTCTCTCTCTCATCAATGTTTCTAACTCTGTATTTCTCTCCCTCTCCCTTCCTCTCTGTAAAAAATCAATAAAATATATTTTTTTAAAAAAGGAATTCATGAAATCTGGAGAAGGCTGTGCATAGATTAAATAAGAGTCAAGAGACAAAATATAATTTTGAAAGGCATTTGGGGGTCAGAGGAGCCTAGTTTGAAGGAAACTAAGATCTCTTTGTCTCAGGACCCCATGCTTTTTATTAACACAAATTGTCCTGAGATGAGGCAGAGATATACACTTCAAAGGGTCAGGGTTTAGTATACAGAGGGATTGTCAGATTTGGGGGAATTAGCCTACAGCTGTTCTGGTGTTTGGCCAGTAGGAGGAAATAACATGTAGATTAAGGTGCCCTTAGCTGCCTGGCATCAAACAATCAATTTAATGTATCCTATTCAGGTTTGGGGAAATGCCATCAGCCAATCCCAGATTCAGCCCTGCTGTCATGCTGGAATTGGTTTCTGGCATATGGTATCTAGAACAGATGTTCTCATCCTTTGATATGTCCATATCACCCAAGGATCTTGGCAGAGGAGGATTTAATTCAGTTGATCTGGAGTAGAGGCTGAGAGTCTGCATTTCTAGCAAACTTCTGGGTGATGCTGAGGACATAGATGCTGTGAGCCAAATGAGTGTTGAGAGATATCATCATATTTATAGAGGATGGACTGTTTCCTCACCCCACCTACAACAAACATTATCTTTTATTCTCTATTTGTAGGACTGGAGACTCTGATCCTGACCTATGTCAATGCCATCAGCAGTAGGGACCTGCCCTGCATGGAGAATGCCATCATGGCCTTGGCCCAGATAGAGAACTCAGCTGCAGTGAAAAAGGCCATTGCTCACTATGACTGGCAGATGAGTGAGAAGGTTCAGCTGCCCACAGAAACCCTCCAAGAGCTCCTGGACCTGCACATGGCCAGTGAGAAAGAGGCCATTGAAGTCTTCATGAAGAATTCCTTCAAGGATGTAGACCATTTATTTCAAAAGGAATTAGCGGTAATTTTTTTCTTATGTTTATATGGATTAGGGTCTCAGAAAGCAAAGTACTATCCTACCTAATAATAGACATCATGGTAATTGACCATACCTTCGCTATGCCTCCCATTGGCTAATCAGCATGATATGCAAATTAACCACCAACAAAGATGGCGACTAATTTGCATACTGCAGGCAGGGTGGGACAGCGCAACTGCCAGCACAAGAGCCGCCATCCAGGCTCCCGTCTGCGACCCCAGAAGCCGCCAGCCTGCCGCCAGTGATCAGATCCGATCCCGGCCGCAGGCCAGCCCCAAAAGCCCCAGAAGCTGCCCAGAAGCCGGTGATCAGGGAGAGATGGGGGTCCCCTGCCCAGGCCTGACACCTCTGGCGGAGGCATCAGGCCTGGGCAAGGGGCCAATCTGGCAATCAGAGGGTGATAGAGGTCGACGCCTCTGGCCAAGGCATCAGGCCTAAGCAGGGGGCGGAGCCGGCAATCGGAGGGGTCTGGGGGTCCCCTGCCCAGGCCTGATGCCTTGGCCAGAGGCGTCAGGCCTGGGTGGGGGGCAGAGCCAGTGATGGGGGGGAGATGGGGGCCCCCTGCTCAGGCCTGAAGCCTGGGCCAGAGGCACCAGACCTGTGCGGGGGGTGGAGCCGGCAATCAGAGGGGTCTGGGGGTCCCCTGCCCAGGCCTGA